ACCGTTATTTTGTATATTTTTGTCTGACTTTGGTCTTGTTTTTTTCCGTTTGAGGTTGTGATTTTGTTCTTGCTCTCCGACAGGGTTTGTCGTTTTATTCTAGAGAGCTATACTTATCATTGCAAGCGTCAGCAGCACAATGATTTTTGTTTGTTTATCGTTCTTGCTTCTTTTTTTTTTTCTGCTGGGGGTTTGTGCCCGCACGTTAACATGCACAAATACCCGTGCACTATTAGAACCTGGAACCTGAGTACCTCTTAACATGCCGTCCGTCTCCGAAGCCAAGCGGGAGTACGAGGAGCGTCTGAACGGATGCCTCACCAAGTACAGCCGCATCCTCTTTTGTCTGATGGACAACGTCCGCTCGCAGCAGGTGCACGACGTTCGCCGCGACCTTCGTGGTCTGGGTGAACTTGTGATGGGGAAGAAGACGCTTCAGAAGAAGATTGTGGAGAAGCGTGCGGATGAGAAGAAGGCGACGGCCTCCGACAAGTTGTTCTACAACAAGTGCATCGAACGGAAGCTGTTGTGTGGCAACACCGCCCTTATCTTCACGAACGAGGAAATCTCCGCCATCACGGATGTGCTGGACAAGCACCGTGTGCAGGCCCCTGCCCGCGTGGGCGCCATCTCCCCGTGCGACGTCATTGTTCCCGCTGGTAACACTGGCATGGAGCCCAAGGCGACTGCCTTTTTCCAGGCACTGAACATTGCAACAAAGATTGCAAAGGGGACCGTTGAAATTGTGACTGAAAAGAAGGTGCTGTCCGTTGGCGACCGTGTTGATAACTCGACGGCCACGCTGCTGCAGAAGCTGGATATCTCTCCATTCTACTACCAGGTGGAGGTGCAGTCAGTGTGGGACCGTGGTGTTCTGTTCCTCCGTGAGGATCTCTCTATCACCGACGAAGTCGTAGAGAAGTTCCTTTTGGACGGCATCAGCAGCGTCGCCGCGATGTCGCTGGGTGCTGGCATCCCGACGGCGGCCACGCTGCCACACATGATCATGGACGCCTTCAAGAACCTCCTCGGCGTCTCTGTGGCCACCGAGTACGAATTCGACGAGTTCGACGGCAAGAACCTGCGCCAGGCCGCTCTGGAGGGCAAGCTTGGTGGTGGTGCGGCTGATGCTGCTGCCCCTGCCGCCGCCGCCGCCGCCGCCGCTGCCCCTGCTGCTGCTGCCGCCGAGCCTGAGGACGAGGAAGATGATGATGACTTCGGCATGGCTGGACTGTTCTAAGCGACACAGTGGAGAACTGCACCGTTATTTTGATATTTTTGTCTGACTTTGGCTTGTTTTTTTCCGTTTGAGGTTGTGATTTTGTTCTTGCTCTCCGACAGGGTTTGTCGTTTTATTCTAGAGAGCTATACTTATCATTGCAAGCGTCAGCAGCACAATGATTTTTGTTTGTTTATCGTTCTTGCTTCTTTTTTTTTTCTGCTGGGGGTTTGTGCCCGCACGTTAACATGCACAAATACCCGTGCACTATTAGAACCTGGAACCTGAGTACCTCTTAACATGCCGTCCGTCTCCGAAGCCAAGCGGGAGTACGAGGAGCGTCTGAACGGATGCCTCACCAAGTACAGCCGCATCCTCTTTTGTCTGATGGACAACGTCCGCTCGCAGCAGGTGCACGACGTTCGCCGCGACCTTCGTGGTCTGGGTGAACTTGTGATGGGGAAGAAGACGCTTCAGAAGAAGATTGT